TTCTTTCTTTCTTTCTTTCTTTCTTCTTTCTTTCCTTCCTTCCTTCCTTCCTTCCTTCCTTCCTTCCTTCCTTTCTCTCTCTCTTTCTTTTTCTTTCTTTCTTTTTGAGAAACAAAATAATCTGCAGTCTTCTTAATAGGTTTCTACAAATGTGAGCTGAAAAATGGATCACATCAGTCAATTATAAAATTAATTTGGGCCTCCTATGGCATCACTTGGGTCTTGACATTGCATTTATGTCAAGAACAAGGGCTCAGATTGTTAACATACTAGGCACTTTGAAGGCAGTTGTGGGGAAGAAAGTACGGGTCTTAAAGTTGTACATTTACCAAGTTTCTTTAATAATCAAGAAAGGAAAGAACTACACAGTAATTCATATTCAATGTAAAGGTTTAGCTAGTCTACACTGGAAACCTTAGACCCACACCCATCCATCCCATCCCTTCCTTGATGACTGCAAATGGGTCATCCTCTCCCCACCTGCATCACAGCAAACCAAAGTTTTTAACTAAGAGGGATGTTATCTTGTTTTCTAACACAGAGAGCCAAAGTTTTTAACTAAGAGGGATGTTATCTTGTTTTCTAACTTGTCTTATGTTTTTAATTTAATTTTATTTTTTAGAAGTGTCGATCTTTTCTTACATTTGGGTCTACGATGGCTGTCAGTTCCCCATGAAACTCTAAATGCTCCAACCAGTACTTTGAGAGTAAATTTTATTCTCTTAAGGAGATAGCTTAATCAACACTACTCAGTATATCTGATCTCTATGTTACCTTGCTATGTTTGCACTTGTGTTTCTAGACCCTGAGTGAAACCTCTTATTTGGCTTGTTTATGTTAAGATGTCCTATTTGCATGAGACTTTATGTATAAAATTCTGCATATTCAAAAATTATAGCATTAATATCACCTTGAAGGATTATTCTTTGCTTTAGTAGAGGGTTCACTATGTGATCCTTTAAATAATGCACATCACGAAGAAAACATATTTAAATCTATGCTCTTATTTTCATAATGGTGTGTCTTGTATATGCTACTCTATACATGTAAAGATTCGGTCTTCTCATCATCCATTAGTTATTTTCCTTTCTCATAAGTTAACAAGCCCATGTATTCTTTGGTCTTGTCATAAATGATGATTTTATGTTATTATTTTTCTGAGTTTATTTTATTTATTTTATTTTGAGATGGAGTTTCACTCTTGTCGCCCAGGCTGGAGTGCAGTGGTGTGATCTCAGCTCACTGCAACCTCCGCATTCTGGGTCCAAGTGATTCTCCAGCCTCAGCCTTCTGAGTGGGGATTACAGGTGTCCACCAGCATGCTGGCTACTTTTTGTATTTTTAGTAGAGATGGAGTTTCTCCATGTTGGCCAAGCTTGTCTCAAACTCCTGACCTCAGGTGATCTGCTCGTCTCAGCCTCCCAAAGTGCTGGGATTACAGGTGTGAGCCACCGTGTCCAGCCGAGTTTTATTTTTTAATAATTGAAGAGCAATTAAAAATGTTGAAGAATGACAATGATAGTCACCATTTATTGAGTTTGTTTATGCGAGGCACTGCTTTGTAAATGCCGTATGTACACTCAGTTATTAAAAATATGAATAAATTATGGCATTAGGATATAATTATTGTTCTCTGTTTATCTTTAACTACTTTGCTGTTCTTCCTCAAATATCACCCCAAATCTTATAGCTTAGAGATAGCCAATTTCTTCCTCCCTTGGAACAAAAGAATTCTAATACATTAATAAAATACTTCCTCATTGCTCCTTTTGTTTTCTAAGTTAATTTGAACTAGGACTGTATGAATTAATCTGATCTACTAACATTGGAAACTTTTACTAAAGAGTGATATTAGATTTGTGTTACTAACCTCATAGTGGGCTTTAAAGATGACAAAGGGTTACTAAATTTATTCATTTGTTCATTCTCATAACAAGAATTTATTGAGTACTTATTGTATGCCAGGCACTGTGTTAGGCATTAGGAAAGAGATACGTAACTCACACTCTTCAGATTCCCCTCCAACATCTACTACAAATTATCTAAGTGCAGGTTCTGCTTAAGCCACTGGGTAAATGTCCAGATGCATTTTGGAGGCAGATTCCCTCTGCCCAGTGCTGGCTCCTCCCTTCCTGATCTTTTCTTATTATTTGCATACTATCCTTAAGGACTACTTCAGTTTATGGGACTAGTTCATGCCCTACTGCTTAGTTTGGTGTCACAAAATCCATATCAGCATTGAATCACCCAGCCCTACTCCCAGAAGACTGTTTCCACTAAGAGGATCCTTTGTGATTCATGCCCTTGAACTACCCAGTCATTTAGAGACAGAAGGGAGTTTACCTAGAGGCAGTGATGGTTAGCAGACATTAATTAAAGGATGACGCTCTCACCCAGTCCAAGGGTCATGATGGAATGTTCTTTCTTCCAAACTGGGCAGAAGGTCCAGACTTGTGATTTCTCAGAAAAACTTCGAAAATACCATGTCTTTCTAGCTTCCTTCTACTTCACCCTTTGACCCAGGGTTTGTAACTTGACTTGTAGGGGCCAATTCCTGTAAAATAATGTCCTACTTAGGTTCTGCTCTAGGTGTGGGTTAGATTTTCAGCAACCATGGAAATAATTGAGGGGTGGAGGAAACAAAACCCCAGAGCAGACAAAATAGCAGTCACCAAGGCCGTGCACAAAAGCTATGCAGTTTTCTTGTTGAACAGACTTCCAGGCCCAGTGTGTCAATCTCCTTTTGCTGCTGTAACAAATCACCATGAACTCAATAGCTTAAAACAACACAAATTTATTGTCTTACAGTTTTGGAGGATAGAAGTTTAAATGAGTCTCCAAGGCATCAGCAAGGCTGCATTCCTTTCTGGAGGTGTTAGTGGGGAGAATCTGATGTTTTGCCTTTTCCAGCTTCTAACTTACAGCTATCCCCATTCCTGGGTGGTGGCTCCTCCCACAGATGGATGGCTTCCGTCTTCAAAGACAACAATGGCTGCCCAAGTCTTTCCCATATCAAATCACTCTGACACTGACTCCCTTGCTTTCCTCTTTCACTTTTAAGGATCCTTGTGATTATTTTGGGCCCACCCAGAAATCTGAAATAATCTCCATATCTCCAGGGCAGTTGATTAACAACCTTAATTCCATCCGTGACCTCAATTCCATATGTGACCTTAATTTCCTCTTGACATGTAACAAAACACATTAAGAGATCTTGGGGATTGGGACATGAATGTCTTTGGTGGGAGACGGCTATTCTTCTGCCTTCCCCACCCAGGCTCAACTATACATATCCTTCATGCACAGTCGCACAAATTTGGCTAGTTGATGTTTGAGCTGTCAAAAGTAGGAAGCCCTGTGAGTGGCAAACAACTGTCTACAATGGGAAATGAGAGCTGGGAGCCTAATATCAAAAACAGAGATCAAAACGAAAAACGAGTCACCTAGTTAACAAGCCACAGAACTCAGAGGTCACAGAGAATGGGGAAGAGTAGCCCTATCCAATTCAGTGGCTCCTGGGAGCATTCTATTTTATGGTACAAAACTTTAAGCACTATTCGAAATTGTGATCCTGAGTCATTAACACATTTTATTCAGTTTAAGAAGCAAATACCACACCATATCATATTTTTTAAAAAAGGATTTTAACTGCCGGGTGCGGTGGCTCAAGCCTATAATCCCAGCACTTTGGGAGGCCGAGGCGGGTGGATCATGAGGTCAAGAGATCGAGACCATCCTGGTCAACATGGTGAAACCCCGTCTCTACTAAAAATACAAAACATTAGCTGGGCATGGTGGCACGTGCCTGTAATCCCAGCTACTCGGGAGGTTGAGGTAGGAGAATTGCCTGAACCCAGGAGGCGGAAGTTGCGGTAAGCCAAGATCAGGTCATTGCATTCCAGTCTGGGCAACAAGAGTGAAACTCCATCTCACAAAAAAAAAAAAAAAAAAAAAGGATTTTAAAAATAAAACCATAAAACATAGAGGGAATTTAGTGAATATTCAGCTGACTTCTGAAAGAGAAATACTTTTCTAAGCACAAAAGCAAGGGAAGAAGTAAAAAAAGAAAGAAGCCATATTTGTGTATAAATAGAAGTTAAGATTTACATATTAAAATCATGAACGCAATTAAAAGGTAAACAGCAAGCTGTGAAACTTATTTGTCACAAATAACATATTCAATAACCTTAACAAACTTCACTCAGCTCAATGAGCAAAATATTAAGGCCACAAGAGAAAATGGTCATATGTATTATAGAAGGAAAAATATCAGTGGCAAACTAGTATATGTAAATGTTTAAATTCACTGGTAATGAAAAGTGCAAACATAAGATAGCAGTTTTAACTTATCAGATTAACACAGATTTTTTTTTTTAATGACAGTATTTAATCTTGGTAAGGATGGTAAAATATTATTCTTAGAGAATACTGGGTGTTGTAGATGGTACAAATCCTCTGAAAGGCAATTTGATAATATATATGATCTTACTTATAGGTATCTCTATTAAAAAAAAGTCAAAATAGAGGCAAAGATGTCTACAAAAAGATATTAATCCTTATTTATAATGAAAACATAATAAAAATGATTAAATGAAATATAATGCATTTCCATCATGGACTATAATAGAGGCATTAAAACATAAGTTTTAAAGACTGCTTAGTGATATAGAAAATATTGTGAATTGTGACAGCTATTTTATATTTCAGTATGTATTTTATGCAAGATACGCGAGCTAAATTACATTAAATGTTATCAGAGCTGCGGGCTTGTTCACAGAGCTGTGTTAACAGAACTATGGGCTTTTGCCTTATTTATTCTTCTCCATTTTTTTAAGCTTTGAAAAATAAACATGTATTTACTTTTATAGTCAAATATATATAATTTTATTTTTAACAATTAAAAATAGAGATGTGTATAATATTCTTTAGAAAGATTTTTAGGTTAAGTGGTTTGTTTTGATGTTCGAAGCTTCAGTGATGCACACAGTTCATCTACATGAAGCCTTACCTCTCAAGATGGTGGATAAGACATTGCAGTGTTTTGGAAATACTGGCTTACTTTAATGAAAAATAAATCTCTAAAATTATATAATGTGGTTAATGTTTGGTTTGTGCCAGTATTTTCCAAAGTGTGTTTCAGGTAAAAAAAAAAAAAAAGTACTTGAAGTTGCCTTGTGAAAAAAAGCATTCAGAGTTCAAATAAATTTAGGAAGTACTGAATACTATGCAGTCATCTTTTGGTGACCACAGAGGACTAGTTCCAGGACCCCTCTGTCCCCTGCAGATATCAAAACCTGAGGACGCTCAAGTCCCTTATATAAAATGGCATAGTATTTGCATTCAATCTATACACACCCTCTCATATACTTTAAATCATCTCTAGATTGCTTATAATACCCAATACAATGCCTACACACCAACTCATTTGCAAGGATTCTATGCAGCACTTGGTTCATATCAAATTCAGCTTTTGCTTTTGTAACTATGTGGAGTTTTTTTCCAAAATATTTTTTCCAAGGTTAGTTGAATCCAAGACGCAGAATTCACACATATGACTGTCTTCCTTTCTCGGAGAGTCACAATTCACATTAGCATTTTCAAGGCTCTGAAAAGCCCTACAGTAACATGCTTAGTTTTGTTTAAATCAGAGTTTCTCTAAGCGCTACTGTTCAGAAATGTATTGAGTAGCACCTACTAATGTCTCCCTGCCAAATTATGTTTGTGTATGTTACACACCTTGGAAAACCATGAATTTAAGCAAAGCTCAGCTGACTCACTACTGGCTATGAAGCTAAAAGATGTGAGTCCAGTTTTGATTATTTTTTTCAGAAACTGTCAGGAAAATTCTAGCTGAGATGATGGCAAGGTTGTCCTTGGGCAGGCATGAGGCTCTGTGTGGTAGCTCTGTGCTAAGGAAGACTTCAAGCTCTTTTTCAAGTTGTCAGATTCCCCTCTCCCACATTCCATCACCAGTCCCAAGCCAGTGAGCGGCTGCCAGCCAGGGTCCTCTGAGCTGCTGAAGGCTTCCCTTTCCACCCGTACTATGCAAAATGGGGATGGGACTTTCCAGGCACAGCATCTGAAGGCAGACAGCTTCTCCAACTTCCTGCTCGGAATTGGAGAATGATGTGCAATCCCTTACTATCAACTCTTACATCTGGAAGGGTGTAAGCGTAGGGTCCATTACTAGAAAGTAAGTCTGTGTTAGAAGACATTGAATACACATGGACTTTCCTGAGGATGGGGCAAATGAGGTTTTTGTTTGTTTGTGTCAATGAGATGCCTCTGAGTGTCTTCTGTCTCTGGTTTTTTATCCTCTTCTTCCAAGATTCTTTTGGCCTTTATGAGCCCTTTGATTTTAACTTATAGTTCAGGATCCCAGGCAATGGGCTCTTTTTGGAGCCTGTTAAGATGTTCAGGTCCACCCAAGAAAAACAATGTCTTTGGTCATATTGACATTCTCGGACAGCATTCATTGTTTCACCATGCTTCCAGAGCCTCTGTCTCTTTTCTCTGACTTCATCAGACGTTCTCCTAGGAAAAGATGGAAGTGGAGAGAGAGAGAGGGGAAGAATCTGGTGAGAACTCATCCACCATCCTACTTAGATTCACAGATGCCCCGTGACGCTGGGGGAGGCTGGGTGCTTCATGATCATCTCATCCAGTGGTTTGTGGATGTCCAACGTTTGGTGAACAGGGGGTAGTGGGGGGCTGTGAGTAGGTTGGGGGGCGACTCCATATCTGTACGTATCACTTCAGCTGTGGCAACTCTATTTTATGTATTGGGGCTTCTGGTAAGGTTTTGTTTAAGAAAAGATCCCTGCTGCTGGAAGAAATGGTTACAGACAACAGATCCAGCCCAGCTCCATGCATGAAGCCACCATGCAGCTTCTTCTCAGATCCCTCCAGTGACAGGGAGCTCATTACCATTACAAATTTGGTTGTACTAATATGTTGTATGGAACAGAAATCTTCTTCTCTGGAGCTCCTACCCATTTGTCCCAGTTCTGCTTTCTGGAGACAGACAGAAAAAGTTTAAACCAGTCTGTAGCTTTCGGCTCCATCAGAGCAGAAACTTTGTCAGTTTGGCTCTTTGGTGACTCTCCAGAGCAATGGCTGGCACATGGTGGAAGCTTAATAAGTGATACTTGAATAAATTAATAAATGAGGAGCTTCATGCATCTGTTGTAGGATTACCTTCTGACCTAAGTCTTCAAGACCGGCACACCTAAGAGCTCACATAGTGTCAACCCACTCACCCCTCCTCAACCTGGATCCTGTCTGTCAAAGGAGTTATGTATGGAGAGGCATATGCTAAGGATTTTTGGGCATGGAGCAAGGACCCTTGGGATTTAATTTATCTACCAAGTGCGTCTGAAAAACAGCTATACAAAAAAAAGGCACTGCATAAAAGCAATTTGATAATCCTGATGAAAGCTACCAGACCCTTATCAGGGAATAAGCTATGACCCCGGCACGAGGTCAGACATCATTGATGATCACCAACATAGTAGAAC